GGTGTGTAGTTACCGTTGTAGGAGCCTTATAGACGGTCTATACGGTCTATATACCTTATAGAAGCCTTATAGAAGCCCTATATACCCTAAATGCCCCACCTGCAGTTTCCTTTAACTCAGAAGTAACTGCAAGCGCCAAGATTCCACGGGACATTCCAAGGCAATGAGCGTGCAGGCGGGCAGATCAATCTGCAAGGCGTTGCCTTGGGCCCAGGGCTTACGGTAGCTGGGGCCTTCCGAAATTATGGTCCTTATATAAGCCTAGGGATAGGGTTTAGGGTTTAGGGGGGATCGTCAACCTTAAACCCTTAAACCCTAAACCCTAAATCCTGCCCACCTTCATCCAACCTTTTGAAGCCTCCGAGGCTTCAGGGTTCCTTTTAAGTCTTTAAGTATTGCGTTTGGGGTTTCCTCTAAGAGTACCTCCATTTCGCGGTTTCTTCGAGTTTAGGGCTTTTGGCAGGGTTTCCCCTGGGACAGAAGGAGCGCGATTCTGAGGGTTCCCTGGGAGGTTTCTTTAAGCTTCCTGCGAAGATCCTTTGGGCTTCCCCTCAATGGTTAGGGTTTAGGGTTTAGGGTTTATGGGCCGATCGAATCGAACCCTCAACCCTGTAGAACCGCGCTTTAGGGTTTCGGGTTTAAGGTCCTTGAAGGAACAAAAGCCCTATACTATAGAACTATGGCCCTATGGAACCTGTAAAGGAACCCAGCAAAGGATTTTTTAAAGGAACCCTTACGGGAACTCTTCTCCCCTAAACCCTAAACCCCAAACTCCAAACTCGAAACTCCAAACCCTAAGCCCTAAACCCCAAACTCTAAACCCTAAACCCTAAACCCTAAATCCCAAACCCTAAACCCTAAACCCCAAACTCTAAACCCTCAATTTCCTAAACCGTAAACCCGATCCCTGCCGACCACCCCTAAACCCTAAACCCCAAACCCCTAAACCCTAAACCCTAAACCCTAAACCCTAAACCCCTAAACCCCTAAACCCCTAAACAGACCAGGCTGCGGTAGAGGAAGGCAGAGTCCCAGTTGTCTTGCAAGGCCTCCACAGGGTTTACGGTTGGTTTGGAGGTTGGGGGTTTAGGGTTTAGAGTTTAGGGTTTAGGGGTTGGGGGTTTAGGGTTTAGGGTTTAGGCTTTAGGGTTTGGAGGTTGGGGGTTTAGGGTTTAGGGTTTAGGGTTTGGAGGTTGGGGGTTTAGGGTTTAGGGTTTACGGTTTTGGTGACATCCGCTCCATGAACGACTGAGGGCAAGCGGATTAGCTCTATGGACATTCCGGGGCTGTGGTAGCAAACCCAATACCCTGAATCGACTCATGATCTAGGTAGCTCTGGTTGCATTGCGCAGGGTCCGAGCGACTGCACTAGTAGTTGTTTTTTGTGTTCGCGTAAGTCTGAGGCTTTGGGGGTTTGGGGTTTGGGGTTTAGCCTCTACAAAACTTCGCAGCCACAGATTTTAGGGCTTAGGGTTTCGAGTTTAGGGTTTAGGGTTTAGGATTTCGGGTTTAGGATTTAATCTTTAGGGCATAGGGTTGCACTTCCAGAGTTTAGGGTTCCTCGAAGGTTTCTTGAAGGATTGTGCGGGTTTGGGGCTCCAGAAGAAGAGACACCTTCTTCAAAGGAAGTCCAATACCTCGTAAGTCTAGTTGAGGGATATGACCTTGAGTAAGAGCCCCGGGAACTCCAAACAGCCCTAAGTAGGTACTATTTCTTGGCTCTAGACCCCACGGTTATTATTATTTGTATACTTTGAGCTCCTTAAATACCGGGTTCTAGCGGCCGCAAGCAGTAGTCGTCGTCGGCGGCATCGCCGTCGGTGGTGTTCATTGAGCGACACGATACCCAGACTTTTCTTCCAGCCACGCAACACTCTTGCAGGGTTTAGGGTTTAGGGTTGTCTCACCCAGCATCTGCTGCTGGGAGGAGAGTTGCCATGTCTTCTGCTCAGCCTCTTCAACAGAGCAACAGAGGATGAGGCGCAACCTTCACCCTCTCGAACAAGCTTGGGTTTGCCCTTGAGTTGTAGCATGTGGTGGTAGCGGTAATGGTAGTGGTCGTGGTAGAAGCAGCGGTGGTGGTAGTAGTGATGTAGTAGGAGCAGCAGTGGCAACAGCAGCAGCTTGTGGGCTTCAAGTTTATAACGGAGGAACGTTAAACCCAAAACTCCCATATTCAATACCCTAGACCCTAAACCCTACTCAAAACCCTAAACCCCAACACTCTGAAGCTTAGACTCCGAAATGCAGAAGAATGCCGTCACACCCTAATACATAACCCTCCCACATTGACACTCTGCGAAACCCTCCAAAAACGCAAAATCCTAAGCCCCCCCCCAGGCCCTGACCCCCAAAAATGTGCTAGGATGCCCTAAAAACCGACCCAAGAGAACCCCATTGAAGCCCCAAACTCCTGAACCCTCCTTACATAAACGAGGGTTTTGGGTTTCGGGTTTAGGGTATCCTTACATAAAATCAGCCTCAATCTCCTTTCTGTCCATGAGCTTGGCAAGAATCTGCGGAAAGAGGTCCGGGACCTTAGATTAGGGTTTCAGGGTTTAGGGTTTAAGCCCTAAACCCTAAACCCTGAAATCTAAACCCTAAACCCTAAACTTTAGGTTTCAGGGTTTCAAGGTTTAGGGTTGAGGGCGCAGGGTTTCGGGTTTACTTTCGGGGTTCGCTTTTGGCAGTCTGTATGCTGTTCGTAACCGGGTTTTGGGTCCGGGGTTTGGGGCCCTAAACCCTAAACCCTAAACCCTGGGCTGTTAAGGGTTCTATAAGGACTACTTTTAGGGTTTAGGGGCCTTAATGCTTTAGAATAGGGTTGTGGCGGCCATTGTACCATAACCAGAATAAGGAACCCCCCAAAAAACTGTTGATGATATCCCTAAACCCTAAACCCTCAACCCTAAACCCTATATAAACCAGGTGTACATCCTGAACCTCACAACTGCAATCTAGTAGGGTGGCCTGATTACTGAATACTTTAGGGGTTTGAGTTTAGGGTTTTGATATAAACCCTGCATTACCTTAAGGACCCTAAACTATGGGAATTAGGGTATCTTCCTTATTATGGGTAATGCAAGGTTTATATCATCAACATACGGATTTAGGGTTTAGGGTTCAGTCTTCAGGGTTTGGGGTTTAGGGTTTAGGCTTAGGGCCTAGACCCTCTTCGAATTATTTAGGCCCCCCATTCCCAATTAAATATTATTGATATTCGTATTATTACTACTATTATTATTATTATTACTAGTATTATTATTATTATTAATTTTTGCTATTATCAATATGACTATATTTTGTTGCTTTTGGTGTCTGGCGACTTGCTGGGCAAGTGTCCGCCACATGCCCAGGGCTTTTTTGACCCGAGGATGCGCACACAGACCTGGTATGGAGCCCCTTTGTCGAACCCTCATGGGGTTTAGGGTTTAGGGTTTAGGGGTTTAGGGGGTATAGGGTTTAGGGATGGTACCCTCCGTTAGATCCCTTGTTGTACCCTCTTAGAGCCCTTCTCATACCCTGTAGCGTGCTTGTCGTATCTGTTCAGAGCCCTGGTAGTACCTGGTATAGCACACTCATGGCCAAATCTCCAGCCGGCCGATCCCGGTTCTCATAATCAGCTCGGAGCGGGGTAGGAACCCTGAACCTCTAACCCTAAACCCTAAACCCTGAACCCTAAAACCTAGACCCTAAACCTCTACTTGGAGGATCATGGGACTTAGTAAGTAAGGTTATAAGTCCCTTAATTGGTGTTATAAGTATAGTTACTTTAAGTTATAACCCTACTTACTAAGTCCCATGATCCTTTAAGTAGGGTTTATGGTTTAGGGTTTAGGGCTCAAGGCCAAAGGACCCGGAGCTCCGGGACTCGGCTCAGGGCTTAGGCCTGTGCAAGGGCTTCAGATGGGAGGCTCTCTTGGGGGGAGAATAGGGTTTTGGGTTTAGGGTTTGGGGGTTTAGGGGGTTTAGGGTTTCGGGTGTTGGGTTTTGGGGTTCCTTTAAAGGGCTCCTTAAAGGGGTCTATAAGGGCTACTATAGAGGTTTAGGGGCCTTAATAATTAGAACAGCGTTTTGGGGTATATTCTACTATGATTATAATAAGGAACTCCCAAAATAGCTGCAGTAATGAGTTAGGCGCCTATATTATGCTCAAGGCTTTGAACACTCCGGAACCCGAAACCCTGAACGTTTAGGGCTGTAGGGTTTTAGGGTTTAGGGTTTAGGATTTAGGGTTTAGGCCTAAACCACAAGGCCGAAACCCTAAACCCTAAACCTAAACCCTAAACCCCAAACCGGTAAGTATCGCAGGGGCTCAGCTGTCGACGTGCTGTGCTAGGGTCTAGGGTTTAAGATAAAAGCCTACTGCACCAAAGCAGTGGGAGCAGAAACTGTCATTCGCGACTACTTCAAGGTCCCGACGGAATTGCTAGGGTTTAGGGAGACTACGAAAGGATATCTACTACTACAAAGTTACTGGACCTCTATGCTACAACACCACAACCGAAAATCTCCTAAACCCTAGACCCTAAACCCTCAACCCTAAACCCTGAAACCCCTAAACCCTAAACTCTAAACTCTAAACCTTAAACCCAAAACTTGAAACCCGAAACCATAAACCTTAAACCCTAAAGCCTAAACCCAAACAACCGACCAGGGCACGGAGAGGCCACCCAAATCCATCGCCACGGCATCTTCCAGGGGCACCTCAGGGCTGTTCTGGAGTTTAACGATGGAGGTCGGGGCGGCTCCCAAACCCCAAACCCTAAACCCTAAACCCTTCAGAGATTCTAGCAAGGTTTAGGGCTCCTTTAAGGGATCTTTCAGAGATTCTAGAAAGGTTTAGGGCTCCTTTAAGGGATCCCTTAAGGGCCCTTTAAGGGATCCTTCGAGGGATTCTATAAGGGTTCAGGGCTCCTTTTTGAGAGATTCTAGCAAGGTTTAGGGCTCCTTTAAGGGATCCTTTCAGGGATTCTAGCAAGGTTTAGGGGTCCTTTAAGGGATCCTTCAAGGGATTCTATAAGGGTTCAGGGCTCCTTTAAGGGATCCTTTGAGAAATTCTAGCGAGGTTTAAGGCCCCTATAAGGGATCCTTTGAGAGATTCTAAAAAGGTTTAGGGATCCTTTGGTGGCTTCCATAAGGGTTTGGGGCGCCTTTAAGGTATCCTGTAAGGTTTAGGCTTTAGGGTTTCTTTAGGGTTTAGGGTTTAGGGGTTTAGGGGTTTAGGGTTTAGGGTTTAGGGTTTAGTGCGTATGGAAGTAGTGGGGCGTCACTGCTGGTCTCATGGACTCCTTCAAGTTTGGATAAGCTTTGCTTTACTACACCCTAAACCCTGAACCCTAAACCAGGCTTTCAGGGGTTTAGGGTTTAGGGGTTTAGGGTTTAGGGTTTAGGGTTTAGGGTTTAGGGTTTAGGCAATGTAACCTCCTGAGAATTGAACCCAAGCCCTTACGAGAGGTGATGCTGGGATGCCTATGATGACTCGTCTGTGACTTGCAGGGCCTTGTTTCCAGGGTTTGGGGCCCAGGGTGCTCAGGGCTGCTGGGGTTTAGGGGTTTAGGGTTTAGGGTTTCTTTTAGGGTTTAGGTTTAGGGTTTTGTTTTCAGGGTTTAAGGCTTACGGTTTAGGGTTTCTGCATTAAGGAGTTGTCAGGTCTGACGTATACGGGTGGTTCTCTGACTAAGGTTCCCTTTTACGCCCCCAAACTAGTACGGCATAGGGTTTAGGGTTTAGGG